CATAACTTGCATTGGAGATCGAAATCAAAATAGCTCGCAGCGGAGAGAATGAAGATCACTTTTACTTTTCATAGGGTTTGTTCATCGCTTCAAACTTAAACAATCTTAAGGTCTGATTTCATATTCTTCTTTTCATGCCTTTGTTTCACACATTATTTATTCAATCTAAAGGATTGGTTCCAAATTTGTAGATCTCGTAACACTTGTGTTCTTCTAATCTAGGTTTTTTTCTAGAATCCTTTATTTCATTGCGATTTGCTTTTTGAGTTGTTCTTTTGCTCAATCTTCTCTTATATTGAATTTTTGTTGCTTGATTGAGAGATAGTGAAAATGTTCTTCATTGGAAATGATATTTTGTGTGGTATCTTTGTTCTGATTCTTTTTTTTTTGTTAATATTATTTAGAAAGTCCTTTTAAAGCTTGAATTCAGAAGATAAAAGTAACCACAACTCTTAATAGCAATATTATTTTTTATAGTTTTGGACTTTCTTTTTACATAATGTTGTAGATGTAATCTCTGTCTCTGTTTTTCATCAACTTCGCGTTCCCTATGTAGCTGAGTTGTTCTGTTGTGTCGAAATTGGTGTCTCCGTGGTTGCAATTTAGGAACTTTGGATGCAAGTATTAGACGCGTTTTATATTTTCAAGACATTAATGCATTGCATTTTCATTTAATACTTTTTTAATAAGTTCGTAGCACGATCATTCACTCGTGCATCACCAAGAATACCACATTCAAGTCCACCATTGATTATGTTAGTCACTAAGCCATAACCAAGTTTTCGGTTCGCTGCTATGTCAGCTTCTGTTGGCTCATATGTCCCTCCCTCCCTAACTAATTTTTCTTGTGGAGATTGGAAAATGATTGTTGAAAATTTTTAGATTGTATTGTTGTAAAAATATTTTTATTTGAATTTTCATACTTTAATTTAATATTTACTTGTTGAATTTGCAGGTACAAAATTATACACTAATCGAACACTGTTGGACTTCTTGTTGAAACTTTGAAGCATAGAAAATACTTCTATGACTAAAGACCTTTGTGGCAATAAGGATAGAAAACTTATTTGGTGCTTTTGTGGTTTTGAATTCAATAAAATAAAAGAGAAGATTTTAGTATAGAGATAATATTTCTTTTAGAGCAAACTATGAGCTCATTATCGCTATCCAATATATCTGAATGTTTGAAGAATTATAAAGCTACATCCATGAATATATAAATAGAATATTACACATATAATTGAATATTGCAAATAAAGTCATGGTTAAGTGTTTATATATTTTTGTCCATGCAAAGTTTGATATAGTACATTTTACAATTGTTTCTAATAATATATCTATAAATTTAATTATATTAAATTTTGTTAAAAATCAAATTTATTAATAATTAATATTGAAAAATTATAAGTAATATTAAAAATAATTAAATTAGTTAAATAATAGTAAATGATAAATAGAGATTGTAGGTATAAAATAATCTTTTAAAATAATAAACAAATTACCTACAGCTAGGAATTGTAAGTACATATCAACAACTTTTACCTACAGGCAATGAACCAAATACAATAAATCAAAATTAAGGCTATAGTGACAGTTAAAAATTCTATAGAGACAAACAATAGTTGTTGTTATATGACTCTCATAATGGACAAATAAAATGTCTGTGAGTCAATGTATAAATCAGTTATACCAACACTTTTTTAACTTTTAGTGACAGTTTTTGTCCATCTCTAGAAGTCAAGTTTTTTGTAGTGTATATATTTGTGTAATATGTAACATATTTTTATATGTTAAGGTTGGAGAATATTTATTTTAAGGTAGAACAATGTAACACTTACTTTTACGAGAGAATAATAATGTAAAGAATATATTTCGGACAATTAGGTATAAAGAGGTTTATAATGATTCTCGCACTCTCTTCCACCAAATTGAGTTATACTTCCTTTAATTGTACAACATTAAAAATATCTTTTAACATTTTTTTATAATACATGAATTTATAACTAATATTTTCGGCTATCAATTTATTACACTTTGATTTTTTTTTAATTTGAATTAATTAATTAATTAAATTTATAAACACAAAAAGAAACAAAAATTCAATCAATCAATTAATTTAATTTGTTAATACAAGAAAAAAACAATATATAGTAACACAACGATTAAATTACACATTCTCTATTTAAAAGATGTGAATATTCCATTGCTTAACAATTTAGCATGTTAAAATATACGTTTTAACTCATTTAACTTAATATGGTAAAAGTAAATTACTCATTCCTTTTCTAACATGTGTAAATTAAAGTACACTTTTCACACATAAAATAAATTACATATATTTATCTCTAAAAAGTACAAAATCTATACTGCTTCTCCCATCTTATATATTAAAATAATTAGTTTGCCTCATTTAATTTTACACTATTGAAAAATATTCTTTAAAAGACTTTAAAATATTTTTAATTAAAATTAATATATACTGAAATATCTAAATCTTATTGTACTTAGTAATATTTTAATATATATATATATA